TTTGACCCATAACATATCAATTCGTATAAAACATATTTTCAGAAGTCCAAAGTCATGTATTAATTGGCTCTAAGATGTGTTAATTTCCCTCATATTGTTGGTTTAGAATTTTATCTTTAGATAATACTCTGTATCATATAAGTTTGGAGATTCTGTAAAACTCCTCACTCCACCACCATGGGTGTAGTACTTTACATAAATCTCTTAAATCGTAGATTGTGCGTTAGTGGAATTTACACATAAAAAATGTCATTTTTCGTATTAAATCTGCGCCAAGCCTTCTTGGCAACATAAGTTTCATGAACATGTATAGTTATATATTGAAAAGGCAATGCGAGTGAATACAAAGATTCATCATATGAATCAATAATCTTACGTTGGAATAATTATTAAACTTAATCTTATATAGTCACTCAATTTTCATTTTTATTAAGAACTACATTATGCATGATCTTCCCAACTTTCAGAATGGTGGAATGTCATAGCTAAGTCACGAGCTAGTCCTCTTTTTAAAAAGGGCAAAAAAAAAAAAACATATAGTAATTTTTAAATAAACAAAAATGTGAGAAAACCTGAGCTAGAGTTTGAAGTGGAACGATATCAACTTATCACTCTATTTGTTTTCTTTACTTGCGTGTGTATCAAACAAGGGAAATGAATACACAAGGAGAGAAGTGAGAGAAACTTGTATAATTAACTTATGCTTTGATGTTTTTGATAGTAATTGCATGTTCTTTATGTAGAGTTTTTAACGTGCAAAAGTCTACAGTAGAAGTTAATGTATGTAACTCATGTCTAACAACAGTAATAAAATTAGATAATATATTTATACTACTATTTTTTGTCATTCTTATATTTCATCTGTAGTCAAATTATATGAATGAATACATTACTTCTACAACAATTATAGTATTGTAATGATTTATTGTATACATATCAATTTTTTCTAGAAATTCGTCGGATAATTATTTGAAACTTATTATACAACAATGAATTGAGTAATTTGAAATTCAAATTGTTATTGTCCAGCAGTGACGACATGTACGACGACAACATGTAACTGTTAGACAACAACATCCCGGAAAATTTTTAGTTGTGCCGGGTACACCAAATTTTTTTGGTGTACCCTCACTCATTAAAATTTTTTTGGTGTACAAAAAGTGAGGGTGCACCAAATTTTTTTGGTGCACCCTCACCATTATGAGTGAGGGTACACCAAATTTTTTTGGTGTGCCGGGTACACCGAAAAATCCCTCCAACATCCCATTACAAAAAGTAGAAAAGCTAACATGGATGATGTGAATGCTCACATGGTATCAAAATTTATAGATTTCATTGTTATAAATCGGTAAAAATGAAAGAGATAATATTTGTGCTAGAGATAAGAGCAAAGTGTGTAATGTATCATATTGTTTTATTTTCGTAACTATAACACAAAAAAATCACAGGTAAAGAGAGGAAGAGAGATATATTGATATTATTGCTTTCATTGTTTCCTCTGTTGTGTGTTATGATTATACACAAAATGTTCTTTATATATAGTCATATCCGTGAAGAATCATAAAATTAAAATGAGTGTTTTTTGAAAAATATCATACAACAACAACAACGCTACTATTATTAATTCTTTATTACTTTTCATTTTTAGCTAAAACATGTAGGCATTCATTCCCATAACTTTTACAACATTCATATTATTTTACAAATTTTTTCAAGTTTTAGATATGTCAACGTTGTGACCTGACAAAAAAAATTAAAGTTTCAATAGGCGGTAGGTTCTAAATAAATTATATTTGATTTTTAACTCTTAGAATTCTTCTGTGCTTGCAAATTTTCAAGTGTACTCTCAAAATTCTTCACAATTTCAGCTTTTTGTTTGATCATATATCATATATGTTTGTCTACTCGACGAGATCGTCGAGCAGGAAGAGGACACGAAATCGGAGGGGGAAGAGACCATTGTAAAACAACCAGACACTAGGAGTCGGGAATGAGACCTGGCGTAATCTACACGTTAGTGCGAAACCGAACCACTTTAAAAGCCCCCAAAACTCAAAAAAACAAAACGCGATATAAAAACCGAATTTTTTTTCGATCAGCATTTGAGAGTAGAGCGGGAAAAGGACCGACTTTTTGAAAACCAGTTCCCAAAAGTCCCCGGCGGGGAAACCAACGCAAAACTTCCATTGTCAAATGCACAGACGTGCCCGTTCCCTCTTCCCGTTCCCAAAGTGTGTTCAAAAATTTTTTACAGCAGAACCCCGCCTACTCCCCATCTCCTCATCCAAAGCTTTTTCCAGTTTCACAGGTTTTTCTCAAAGAGTCGAAATCCGCTCGATTCTCCGAGGATTCCGGCGCGATGCCCACGTCAGCGAAGCGCGAACGGAGCGCGAGTCAAACCCGAGGCGTTGACGAGGCCGCGCAGCTCAGAGCCATGAAGCGTGAGAAGGTCAACGCCGGCGACCGAGTCGATGACGAGTCGGCGATCCCGAGTGAGAAGGACGCGGTCAGGCGGCGGGCACTGCGGTCCGACTACCTCGCCGTCAAGAACCTCATCAGTGGTATGCAATTTCTGCCTATCGCAAATGCATATATTCAGATTTTTAATTTCAATAATTTCAAATTTTATTTCTTTGTTCTTGCAGAGAAAAGAGATGATTTGATGTGTTCGGATTTGGAGAAGTTCGGACTTCTCATCAATAAAGTCGAGAAATTGCATGAGCAAGGTATTGCATTTTTTGTTTTGAAAATTCATAACATAAATTTTGAATTTTTATCAGAAAAATAATTACTTTAATTTGTTTTATAATTTTTATTTTCCTTTTGATGTGTTGTGGATTACTGAGAAGATTGAGTAAATGTGAAAGAAAAAACAGATGAAATTTCTGTTCTTTGGAGCTATAATTTTGATGGTAAAATTTGGGTTGTCCATTTGGGGATTTTTCAGTTCAGAAGCCAAGGGAACAAGTAGCAGACGCAGAGGCACTGCTGGACATAACAAACACATTGTGGACCTCTGTTAAGTCACAGTCCAGTGCCGGGATTAGCCCGTCGGACTTTGTTACTGCTTTGCTTAGCAATTTTAGCCAACCGAGAGGAGGGGATGACCACGTCACGGTTAATTGGAAGGGAATTGGGTCTTCTGTTTTGCCCATTTTCAAGAGCGCTCATGGTTGTTGCACTATGTAAGTCGTTACATGTTTCCAAGATTGCCTTGTTGTAAAGATTTTTAGTTCACCGTTGCATTGTTCGTTTATAAAGTTCTAATTCACTCATGGTTATGTTCTTTTTTCCTTAGGCTTGGACCCATGAGTACCGATTTGAAGCAAAGGAAGGCTGTGGTTCGCAGTAAACGTGTGAAGCCTACCACAACTGATCGGCCTGATGAGGTAAAGCTGGTTGTCGATTGTATCGGGTGTGTTCTATGGGAAATGCAGGTGTTATTGATATTCAGGGTTAGAGTAGAGCTAAAATGGTTGTAAAGCTGATGTAGTTTTGTTCTTCATTCGTTTTTAGGAACGTCGCCTTCAAGTTGTATGGATTTTTTCTGACGTTATTACTCCTTTCTGGTTTATGGAACAGATAGATGACACTCAGACCGAAGAGAAAACTGATACTGACAAGAACATGTCAACGATATTTGACATTCTAAGAAGGAAAAAGCGGAGTCGACTTGAGGCTTTGATATTAAACAGAAATTCTTTTGCGCAGACGGTGGAGAACTTATTTGCACTGTCATTCTTGGTCAAAGATGGCCGAGCTGAATTATCCGTAGATGCAAATGACTTTCATATTGTTTGTAAGTAGAATATAACAAATCAAAGATAGCCCGACTGAAACAACCCCTCTCTAGTTTACATTTGTGTTTTAGTATCCATGCGTTTGGCTTATTCAGTCATTCTTTCTCTCTTTTCAGCACCTAGGAATGCTCCTTCCGCCGAGGACGTGGCATCACGGAAGGTCACTTACCACCATTTTGTGTTCCGATTTGATTTCAAGGACTGGAAGGTATGTCATAGTGATCATTTTTTCACTGTTATTGTCTTGTTTAATGTCTTGTATTATGTGTACGACTCTCGTATTTGCATCCTTTTTCATGCTCCATCTTCAGTCCTCAAAAGACATACTTTCTTACTTGCAGGTAATGATGGATAGTTTGCCTGTTGGTGAGGAGCTGATGCCTCATAGATTCCCACCAAACTCTACACGTACCTCTCAAGGGGAACCAGCATCATCTGGTTCCCAAACAGCCTTACCCCCAACCCCGATTCGAAAACTCTCTAGAAACCGCGGCCGGGTTGTGCTGGAAGAATCTATTGCAGAAGAATCCCCTGAAAACGATGAAGCTACTGGAACTAACGTCTTTCGCAGGTCTAAGCGCAAGCTTTAATTCAGATATGGACTTTGCCCGATCACCGCTGTTTATGCAGGTTTATTTTGTTCAGTTACCTGCTGAATATCTTTTGTCCTAAAATGTATATTCCGGATTAGGATGATTAGACTTCCAGTTAGAAATCTGTCCTGCAGTGGCAGTATTTAAGTTAGGTTTTGACACTGCTGTGCGATCATTTTTGAGTCCATTGACATTCTCCTACATTCAGATTGTAGGAGTGTGGGCTTCTTGTATAATACGTTCCTTCTCACATTTAGACAAAAGAAAAGCCCATATCAATATCCTCTGCATTAGGATGGACTTAAACCTTTTTGCTTTGACGTATTTGTTATGGACATTGACTACAGGGATGGGTCATTACCCGCGGATACTAGTATCTGCGGGTATTTTCCTCATCCTTATTTATTAATGGTACAATCCGTTAGCAAATGTCAATCAGGCAACCTTCCTCTTGGTCTACGTTCGAGCCCCGCTCCATGCAGATTAAAGTAGTGTAGGTTCTCTCTTTCGAAAGAAAAAACGGTGCATGCATGCTGAAAAATTGAAATGGTCGAAATACAAAGGTTAGTGCAAAGGTTGCTAGCACTCTCCTTAACACAACTGCATCTGTAGTACAAAACCCTTAAATTTGAGCTGCTCAATTTATAGACAAGTACTAACAAGCATAACCAATATCAAACACAAAATTTTAAGTTAAAACACATTTTGAATTGAGGTTGTCGGAAACTCTTAGTCCCTGCCGTAAAATTTCTCTCATGCCAAAATGGGGGCCATTGGCCAAGACATCGGTGATTCAGTGACTTGGGGAGTTGGGTGGCAAAACTAACTGCATTTAGTAGTCTACGGTACAATGATCACTTTGGATTACCGTTCAGCCAGCCAGCCAGCCAACCATCGTCAGTGCTGAGCCTTCGGAATGTTGAGGTTCTCAAAAATTGGGCTGTCAACTCCGACACCCATTGCGTTCAAACCATTGTCTACATAAATAACACCGCCGGTAATGGCAGAGGCCAAAGGTGATGCCAAGAAAGCAGCTGTGTTTCCTACTTCATCTGTTTAATGAGATTTGTGACTTTAGTATCTATAATAATGGAAAAGCAAAAGAGAATCGAAGACTAGAGACTGGCAAATCACCTGCGGATAGTTCTTTTTCTAGAGGTGCATTGGCTGATGAGTAGTCAATCATCATATCAATGAATCCAATCGCTTTTGCAGCACGGCTTCTTAGTGGACCTGAAGTTAAAAAACAGAACTTGAAGCTTAACTTGGTCATCTTAACAGAGTATGTAAACAAACGTGGTTGATCCAAAAGCATTCCAGTTTAACGTAATCCAAACAAAAAGGAATAATGTACGGTACCAGCAGATATTGTGTTGACTCTAATTCCCTTTCTTCTTCCCGCTTCGAAAGCAAGCACCTGAACAATGCCAAGATATGTCAAAAGACTTCATGGAAGGAAAACGAAAGTGGGATAAGTTACATGTACAAGTGCATGGACGAAAAACTCACTCGAGTATCACTCTCAAGAGCAGCTTTTGCAGAGCTCATACCTCCACCATATCTACAAAAGATAATATAAAAATCCGTCATCACAACATATTAGAAAGGTAACTCCATCCACAAACGGTGAAATGTATACCCGGGAATGATCCGCTCGGAAGCAATATAAGTAAGAGAAATTGAAGAACCACCTGTAACCAAAAGGTTATGTTAATTTGAAAAACACACAAGTACAACAACAACAAAGCCTTATCCCACTAAGTGGGATCAGATATGCCTAGAACGCCACTGAGCTCAGTTTTGCGCCAAGTAAAAGAAGGAAAAAAATAGTGGATAAGTGAACGTGGAACCTTGCCTGGATTAATTATTGGGAGGAAATGCTTGAGTAAAGAAACATAGGAATAACTCGATGCAGAAATAGCAGCGAGATATCCTTTTCTGGACGTCTCCAACAGAGGTTTAACAACCTATTTAAGAGATAACTTAGTATGTGTCAAGAAGACAGAGAATAGAAAATCTATTAAGGTTACTACTGTACCTCCGGTCCATTTGCAAGCGAATGCACAAGAATGTCAATGCTGCCAAAATCATTTTTCACACATTCAGCGGCTTCCTGCAAACATAAAAGCAAGATTCAAGTAAAAACATGTAGTTTAGAAAAGTCTGCGGTCTGTATATTTAAGCTGAAAACTGGTCACAAGCTCCAACATGCACCGTAAAGTTTTTCTACAAACATTTAGAAGCAAATATGAAATTTAATTTATACCTGGACAGTCCAATTACTGGAACCTGCATAGCGCTTATTTGTTTTGATCTGCATGAAATTACGCCGAAACACATTAAATTTATCAAATCATTTTCATCTTTTATTAATATAAACTATTTATTTCTCTCCTTTACCTCCTCGGGAACATCCTCAGGGTTGTCAAACACAGCATCTAGGGGATATACTTTGGTAATCTCCATTAAAGAACCATCTGGTAACCTGTAGTATCAATTATCTAGTTAGAAATTTAGAAACCGTTCGCCAAATTTATTGGCTAACAGGATTAAAACCAGATCAAACATCTTACACGCGTGATTCATCAAACTTTCCACGTCGCAGGCTGGACTCAAAAATGTTCAAAGCCTGCACATAGACTCATCGTAGTCAGTAAAAATGCAGAAGATAAAGGAAGATATAAAGACCTCGAGATTGGGCCAATAAACTTACAGGCACCCACGTTCCCACAAGGATTTCAGCACCTGCAGCAGCTAGAGATTTTGCGATTGCCCAACCATATCCATTATCATCTGCTACACCAGCAATAAATGCTCTCTTTCCTGCACAAAGCACGTGCATATTTAGTTGGGAAGGTATTTGCTCATCAAATTGCAAGCCTACTTGGCATATGGACCTGGGAATATTTGCAATATTCCAGTTGAGCAACAATCTAAAAGCTTACAATTAAAGGAATAAATTCTGCATATTAACCATCGCCATTTAAATATAGCTAAACAAGATCTAATAAACATCATCTTGAGAGTGATGTTATTCCTTCAAGTACATTGGCTATAGCTTCCATCACCTCTTCCAAGTGAATGCATCCGAGATTCCAAATCGAGAGTAATTATCTCAATAGAGAACCAATAGCTTCTTTATGATAAGTAGGTACGAACTTTCTGCTTTCTTTATTGCAATACATTTTCATTTGGAAAAAACCCATTACCACAAAGTATGACATAAAGTAAATTACAAGACAGAAATCTCCAATACGAGCTTCTGCAACATGAAAACACGAGTCCATTCTATTAAAGATGAAGGAAGTAATTTAACACAAACAAGTAGTGAAGCAAGCGTGTGAAATCAGATAGATAGAAAAAGAAATTAACCTTTCAAATCAATTGGCAACCCCGAGACAGGCTTGTTTTCACTAGCTCCAGCCATTGCCCTTGTAACAAACTTATCCATTTTCATAGATGATGATGTGAAGCAACGTTGGAAAGATTGTACAGATGATGTATGACGTGTACTCGAAAGCTTGGACCATGAAGCCACCTTAAAATTTCCATTAAGCATTTTAGAACTTGACCCGAAAGCTCTTCGAGAAGAAGAAGAAATGCACGGTCTGGCAGTTGCCATTTGCAGGCTGGAAGCAGCAGTTGTTGCCATATCCGATAATTGCAATCTCACTAAGGAGAACAGAGATCTACACAATACACTAAAACATAATTAACATCCCTAAAACCGCGAAGCGCAAGAAAACTTGCAGTAGGGTCTCGAAAACAGAATACTTTCGAACATTATAAAGGATCCTGGATTTCCACCAAAATGCTGGTTTTTACATTAAGATACACAAAACCCTTTCGCAGAAAGTCCAAAACTTCCAAAAGTAAGCCGAACCCAGAAAATTTAGACACAAAAATCCGCTATTAAAGCTAAAGCCAGAAACTTTTAGAACAAAAAAAAAAAAAAAAATCAGAGAACTAGAACAGTAAAACCCTTCTCTAACTTAAACAAACCCCCAGTAAATTTCAACACCATTATCTCAAATCTGAGAAAAATCCAAACTTTAACTACATTTCACATAAATATCAGCACCCAAATAATTGATCGGAACAGCAACCCCAGCAGCAATAGAAGTAGCTATTCCAAAAGATGAATGCAACATCAATTTCTTACCTTTTTGCAACTGAGAGCGCCAATGTGGAGAGCGGAAACAGCAAAACCTGTGTATTTTTAAATTGGGAAAGAGAGAGCGGAGCAGGAATTTGGAAAGACTCCCCCGTTCTTATCAGCTTTGCTCGTTAGAGAGAGAGCGAGAGAGAGAGAGAGAGAGAGAGAGAGAGAGAGAGAGAGAGGGCGCCTATGAAATGTATGATGTGTTTTTCAGTGAGGGGTGAGAACTTAGAAGTGAGGATTCGGGAGCGGAGTAGAAGTCGGAGTATCAATCGTCAAAGAGAAAAGAAAAAGTAGTTAATTACAACTTTGGCCCCTGAGCTTTAATTGTATTTCCACTTTGATCTTCAGTTTTCTTTCTTCACAAGTTGGTCTTTGAACTTTACAGAAAGGGTAAATGCCAAAACAACCAAAATTTTAAAACCAAATTTCGTAAATCAAATGATATGGCTATTGTTGATTGGATTATTACTCAATGATTGATTAACGTGTTTATTTTTTATTAGTGACACATCATTGATTTGCAAATTTGGTTTAAAATTTTAATCTTCCTATAGCATTATCCTTACAAAAAATTATTATCATACCCTATTTTTACCGCTACACACCACACCATCACATTTGACACCTGACGAAGATACAACCCAACAATGAAGTACATCAACAGGTGTTACAATAATACGAATATGAGTTTTGTCCGGATCCCTTGCATAGGTCACTTCCCTCACGACATAGGGTTTAATTAAATATCTAAACCTTCCCCCTTTGGAGCGGAAACAGTGACCACACAATTCTTCTGGTCATGTCTTTTCCTCATTATACTTTCTATATTCCCGTATGCAATGATGGAGATGGAGTACTTGGGATTAGCATATTTGTAAAACTACAGAATGAACTTGTTTCACACCGGGGGAACAACATCCAGAGTTACAACCCCAATGTTTTGGAAGATATCTTGAGAAAACGTTTTAGCACCGGTGTATCCTATATGTACTCCATTTTAACTTTTTATTATAAGCAGGATGAAAAAAAGTTGGGCACTAATTTGTGCTTTGTTTTGTGAACGGGCACTGACACTTCAAATCTGAAGGAAGAAAAGGTCACAGTTGTGCAAGTAGGCCGATGCAATGAAGGAAGATAGGTTTTGAGAGAGAGAGGACTCAGAGGAGGACGAAGGCAAAGTTGGGAGGGTTGGCGTCTCACTGTGTCAGCGACGAAGCTTTAGGAAGATGGGAGGGAGAGATTGTGACATTCCACATCGCCTAGGGGAGTTATCCTTATATGTATATTCCCATCCCTACCTAGCATGAGGCCTTTTGGGAGCTCACTGGCTTCAGGTTCCGTAGGAACTCCAAAGTTAAGCGAGAGGGGGGCTAGAGCAATCCCATGATGGGTGACCCACTGGGAAGTTGCTCGTGAGTTCCAAAAAACAAAACCGTGAGGGCGTGGTCGGAGCCCAAATCGGACAATATCGTGCTACGGTGGTGGAGCGGGCCCGAGAAATGGTTTCGCCCGGGCCGGGATGTGACAATTTGGTATCAGAGCTTAACCCTGGCCGTGGTGTGCCGACGAGGACATCGGGCCTCTAAGGGGGGTGGATTGTGACATTCCACATCGCCCAGGGGAGTGATCCTTATATGTATATTCCCATCCCTACCTAGCACGAGGCCTTTTGGGAGCTCACTGGCTTCGGGTTCCGTAGGAACTCCGAAGTTAAGCGAGATAGGGGCTAGAGCAATCCCATGATGGGTGACCCACTGGGAAGTTGCTCGTGAGTTTCAAAAAACAAAACCGTAAGGGTGTGATCAGAGCCCAAAGCGGACAATATTGTGCTACGGTGGTGGAGCGGGCCCGGGAAATGGTTCTGCCCTGACCGAGATGTGACAATTTGGTATTAGAGCCTAACCCTGGCCGTGGTGTGCCGACGAGGACGTCGGGCCCCTAAGGGGGGTGGATTGTGACATTCCACATCACCCAGGGGAGTGATCCTTATATGTATATTCCCATCCCTACCTAGCACGAGGCCTTTTGGGAGCTCACTGGCTTCGGGTTCCGGAGGAACTCCGAAGTTAAGCGAGAAGGGGGCTAGAGCAATCCCATGATGGGTGACCCACTGGGAAGTTGCTTGTGAGTTCCCAAAAACAAAACCGTGAGGGCGTGGTCGGAACCCAAAGAGAACAATATCGTGCTACGGTGGTGGAGCGGGCCCGGGAAGTAGTTTCGCTCGGGCCGGGATGTGATAAAGATCAAGGGGAGACGATGGACAGATCAAGTTGGGAGACAAGAACATTTAGGTTGACGCACAGAAAAGGCACGATGCAGAGGAAGGGAGGGTAGGATTGTTAACATTAAAGTTACTGTTCACCAGTGTTATGTGAAAGAAAAATCTATCTTAACAAGATGTAAGAAACCCAAATCACAATAATTAAGATGCCCAATAAATTTCTTTAAAGTAGATAATATCGTTTGTTAAAAAAAAAAAAAAATGCCAACCAACTTTATGTCCACTTTTATGTTGAAGTTTCGCATGTATCCATCTGAACACAATGAAGAGGTGATCAGTAACGCGCGCATAGTAATTGTTCCAGACCTCCATGCAATCCTGACATGACTAAAATTCTCTGGAATCCAGTTTGTATCCAGTTTGGAATCTCAGTCCGAGTATGTGTGTGTGTGTACGTATATTGCTATATATCTCTAACAACCCAAATCAAAACCATCTATTTTCTCTCTGTTTTTTTTGGTGACCTGTTTGGAATCCATCTCTCAAAAGCTCAAAACTTCACACTATATGTATGCTTGATACATTTTGGTTGGGTGGTCTGACGCTATAAATTTTATCAGTTCCCTAAAGTAAGAATGGTGCGGAATTAAGGTACTATTTCCTTCATAAAGTCTATTAACAAGAAAAAAAATAATATAATTAAAAAATTATTTTTCTCCACTATATCTTCACTTAATTTTTTAGATTTAATTATTTTAAGTTATCGGTAAATGAATATTTTATTTTAAGGTGGAAGAGAAGAATATGTGGAACAGAAACGTTAGGATTCCCCCGAAATGTAGGGGATTTCACAGTCAGTTTTGTGGTTCAGAATGTGGCTCTACTTGTTACTACTAAACAGAAGCTAAGTCCTAATTGTAATGAACCTGTACTTGTCCACGAACTTAACTAAAATTTTAAGCATATAATAACTCTCCTAATTTTTAGGTCTAAAATCTAAGATCCGAAACTTCGAACCAGTCATTGGATAAGAGCTGAAAACATGTGAGTATTATTAGGGAAATCCGTAACTGAAGCCTGAATGTATCTGGTTTTTCATCACCAAGCCTTCAAATATATAAGTCATTTGTTACACTCTCACATCTCACACGAAGCTTCAAGTCTTTGGATTCTCTTTGATCAAGAACTCTCTCTTTGGTTCTCTTGCGATATATATATTTTCTGTTATATACAGTCTCTCCAAATATAATCTGCATTAGGGTTTCAGAATTATGATTTTTCGAGGTTCTTCGAGTAGTTTGGATTGAGATTTTGGGTTGATAGAGGGGACTAATTAGCTAAAGGGCCATTGTTTTAGAGTGAAATTTTCTTGTTCAACTTCCCACCATAAATGACAAAAGGGTTTTTCGTGTTTTCTAGTTTTCCGGCAAATTATTTGAATTGGCCTACTACATTGCCGTTTGTAATTACCGACCCACGCTCCTCCCCATCACCGGAGTCCGGCTCAACAATTTCAAGGGCAGTGATCAAGTTCCGTAAAAGGTTGGTATATCCTACATTTTCCAGCTAGTTTCATGTATATATTTTGTAATGTAACTTCAAAGTTAATTTGTTACTAGTAGCACATATTTAACTTAGTATCCCCTGCAAAACTGGCAGATGATAAGCACGGCCATGAATCGAGACATAGAAGTAGCAGAAGCTGTGGATGGAAACATCCATGAGGTAACTCAGGAATCCAAACCGACTGTCGGAAAGAGTAGGGGAGGATGGAAGCTTGCACTTGTCTTGCTAGGTACCCATCATCGATGCTATTCACTTAATTTTCCTAGCATATATATATTTAGAGAGAGAGAGAGAGAGAGAGAGAGAGATTTGCTTCAAATAGTATTATCAAGAATAAATATACATGTTATGTCTTATTCTGTGCAGCGAATCAAGGCCTAGCAACACTAGCTTTCTTTGGTGTAGGAGTGAATTTGGTTTTGTTTCTGATCAGAGTTCTTGATCAACAAAGTGCCACTGCGGCAAACAACGTCAGCATATGGACTGGAACTGTTTATTTGTTCTCTCTGCTTGGAGCATTCCTCAGTGACTCCTATTGGGGTCGTTACTTAACATGCGCCATCTTTCAAGTCATCCTTGTGTTGGTATGCTTTTTAGATTTTAGGGTTTAAATAAGATTCTTTTTAAATTTTAACCTAGATGATTTTATAAATCTAATTTAAGTCCCTATTACCAAAACTTCCCATAGTTAAGTATTTATATCACATTATTATTTATAACTTATGATCTGAAGTTATGTACCCGTCCATAATTAATGTACTACAACCTAATTAATATTTGATCGTTACAATTAAATACTAAGGACTAAAATTAGTTTTTAATCTTATACGCAATTTTATTCCAAAAGTAATATTCTTCAATGATTGAAATAGAATTTTCTATAATATATACTTACTTTTGAGATTTCCAAGTGAATTTTTTATATTGTTCTTGAAACATACATGTATAATAAAACTTAATACTCCCTAATCAGGGCTTGGGGCTATTATCCTTGACGTCTTGGCTCTGGCTGATCCATCCGCATGGTTGTGGCGGTGTAGGCAATTACTGCCAACCAACATCCAAAGTTGGTGTTTTTCTCTTTTACCTATCAATATATCTAATAGCACTTGGATACGGTGGCCACCAACCAACTATTGCAACATTTGGAGCAGACCAATTCGACGAGAAAGATCCCAAACAACAATCTTCGAAAGCAGCTTTCTTCGCTTACTTCTACTTCGCACTCAACGTTGGATGTCTTTTCTCAAACACCATCTTGGTTTACTATGAGGATAAAGGTTTATGGACTATGGGGTTTCTGGTGTCATTAGGATCTGCTATCTTAGGCCTAGTGTCATATTTGGCGGCATCACCTCGGTATCGGTACATAAAACCATGTGGCAACCCGTTGCCACGCGTGGCTCAGGTTTTTGTGGCTGCTTTTAGAAAATTGAGAGTTGCTCCAGCCAGCCCGGATAATCTGTATGAGCTCGAAGGAACAAAATCTGCAATCAAAGGGAGTAGAAAAATTCTCCACAGTAATGAGATTATGTAAGTAATATTGCACTTTAACTGTATACATATAAATGAGTTAATTTTATTAGCTCTTAAAAAAATGTCATCATGCACTCTTATCTTTTTTATTTTGTCATGCGAGGAGTGGAAGATGACATTTTAAGAGTGCAAATAGCAGCTTTCATTTAATAGTTTCATTAGTTTCCTAATATTTCAAGTTTTTTTTGTTACTTAATTTGGTCAGGTTTTTGGACAAGGCAGCGACAATAACAGAGAAGGATCAAACTGCAGCCGAAAAGAATCCGTGGAGGCTGTGCACTGTAACTCAAGTTGAGGAAGCGAAATGCGTACTAAAAATGCTACCCATTTGGCTTTGCACCATAATTTACTCAGTGGTGTTCACACAAATGGCTTCACTTTTTGTGGAGCAAGGTGATGTGATGGAATCCCACATCGGAAAATTTCACCTTCCAGCCGCCAGCATGTCTGCATTTGACATATGCAGTGTTCTTATCTGCACTGGACTATACCGCCAGTGCCTTGTGCCTTTAGCCGGACGGTTAAGTGGGAACCCAAAAGGCTTATCTGAGCTTCAAAGAATGGGAGTAGGGCTCATTATTGGATTGTTGGCAATGGTTGCGGCCGGTGCCACGGAAATTGCTAGGCTCAGAGGTGTGATACCTGGTGAGAAGATAAGCTCACTAAGCATATTTTGGCAAATCCCACAATATGTTCTTGTTGGTGCTTCAGAAGTTTTTATGTACGTGGGACAACTCGAGTTCTTCAATGGACAAGCGCCGGATGGTATTAAAAGCTTTGGAAGTTCACTATGCATGGCGTCAATATCTCTCGGAAACTATGTGAGCAGCTTACTGGTTAACATGGTAACGCATTTTACAGCTAAAGGTGGAGACCCTGGTTGGATCCCAAATAATCTGAATGAAGGTCACATGGACAGATTCTACTTCCTCATTGCAATTCTAGCAGCTTTGGATTTTGTGGTTTATTTGTTTTGTGCTAAGTGGTACAAGGGCATCAACCTCCAAGGCTCTGAGCAGGAAATTGAGATCATGGAAAATCAGAAGGGAAATGGTCTCCAAGGTTATGAGCAGGAAACTCAGATCACGGAAACTCAACATGGAAGTTCATCAATTCATGGTAAACCACAAGATGAGTCAGTGCTCAACAAAGTTTAGACTAAGTTTAATTTCCTAATTTTGTGCTCTTTTAGACGTAGTCTTTCTCTTGTTTTGTGTTTGAATGTGAGCTTAAGTTTTAGAATAAAGATATTGCAAGAGTAGAGAATGACTTCTCCTTTCTTGTGCCTTAAACCCTACCAAATTTCAACACTAGAGTAACAGATTTGAGAAATTAGTCGTTGATCTAGAAACACTATGATCTAGTCATGTTTAATATTATGCTTTTTAAATAAAGTGTCCGATAACAACTTGGCACGAAGGGTCTGTAGCTTTAATATTTAGAACGTTTATTTTGCATTCGAAGTCCCCTATTTGAATTTCCCTTCTCCCTCCGATACTAGAATTGTTAGAGCCCAATTCAAATAAATGGCAATTAGATTGATCCCCACTACCCAAAGGCTGAACAAATCATTTTCTTGTGGGCTTTGAAAACTTGCTTGGGAGAACTTGGAAGTTGGGATGATCTCATTGACGTGTGTATTGGATGCCTTTGTATGATAAATGAACGTAATGCAGAAGTAGAAAGCAACAACGTGAAAAATTTTGGCAAAATGGTGGGAAGGTCGGTGTCCCCAAAGCATATATGCATAGTTGAGCACAGTGTGTCCCACTTTGTGGTATTTTGTTTCATCACCTTTCATAATCATGTCGATCTGTCACATGAAAACTGTTTGTTAGTCAACTTTTGGAATTTGGGAGGTTAATTTTTCACATCTAGTGTGATCACAATGCACAACCACATAATAAATAATATTTACAACATATATATTTCACTATTTTAATGAGCATATAATAATGATTAGCATATAAAATGGCACAAAAGAATTATCCATTTGTGCAAAAGAAACTTTTATTTTTTTATTTTTTTATTTTTAACAAATAATATTACCTATACTAAAGAAGAAAGGTGGGCGCCTTACAAAGGGCCAGCAATAATTTCGTTCAAATTCGTCTTTAGAGAAAATAAAACTTAAGACCTCTCACTTATAAGTGAAGAAGAATACCACTAGACTGTAGTACGTACTAAGTGGCTTGTGCAAATGAAACTTAATTACTTAAATATAAAAAAGATACTTGTACAAAAATTTATGTGTCTTTTTATATTATACAAGCGATGCTAGGACATAGAAAATTCGAATGTAAGACCTTAAGAAAAGAGTTAAATATTCTTAACCATATATGAACTATAATGTTACATCCCACTTCGTCCAGGGAAGAGGATCCTCTATGCCTTATATGTACATGTCCACCTCCATATAGTACGAGACCTTTTGGGAACTCACTGGCTTCGGGTTCCATGGAACTTAAGTGAGTTCGGGCGAGAGCAATCCTAGGATGAGTGATCCACTGAGAAGTTCTCGTGTGAGTTCTTAAAAACAAAACCATGAGGGCGTGGTTGGGGCTCAAAACGGATAATATCGTGCTACGGTGAAATCGAGTCCGGAATGTGGTGGATCCTGAATCGGGATGTGACAATAATCTCTGGGTGAGTTCAAAAATTTGGAGACGCATATGAACTAGAACATAATATTATTTAGATTGAAATTACTAACTCAGCCTCGAAACGTTTCTATATTTTTTAGAATTTGATTTAGTTGTATAATTTTGATTCTAGTTATCCTTGAAAAGTGAATAACATAAGGGAGGACCCTAATCTCTTAGGGCGTGTTTACGTATTCGTAATCGGAATGAAATTGTGGAATTGAATTCCGATTACGAAGTATTCCAGTATTTACTAAATATGAAGGAATAAAAAAAAGCAGTAGGGCCCACGCAAATTTTGGAATTCAATTCCTTGTATTGGTGGAATTTGATTCCCTAGATATAGGTGTTAATCCAATTCTTGATTGCTTGGGCAATCAGAATGACACTTTTGTTCCCTTTATTCCCTCGCTTGCTTTTTTTATTTCCAAAACTATCCTTTATAAACCCATTTACCCTAGTTTAATTATGCACAACTCCTTACTTTTTTTTATTTTCATACTCATTGACATTGTGCACAACTCCATGCTCATTCACATTATGCAGAACTCCATGCATATGCCGAAAAGAAGAAATTACAACTTGAGAGAGAAAATTCAAATATTAAAGTAAATACTTAAATTTATATAAAAAAAAAAAACAAAAGCATTTTAATGTGTCTATGAAATAAAAAAGCAATTAAATTTTTTTTTCTTACTATTATATATTATATCAAATTTTATTAAAAAAAGTATATAAAATATTTGCTTTGGGACAAGGGCATTTTAGTAATCATACTTGTTTATATTCCAATTCTGCTGAATTAGTAAACAGCTTTTTGGAATTCTATTCCGATTTCAGAACATTTAAGTAAACAGCTTCAACAGGAATTTGATTATGACTTCTTCTCATTCCAATTCCTCCTCAATTCAATTCCTCATACTTTCATTACGGTTACGTAAATGCGCCATTAAAGTCACTCATAAAGGAATAGGCATAGTCTGCCTGCTCTTTCATAACATAGATGTTATTCCCGGCTGGCATAGTAGTCACACACGCAAGAAATTTAATCTGCTCTCCTCTGGTTACCTAGCTATGGGCGATATCTTGGTGATTATTTCGCTTTTACTATCTTACTCATCACGTGATTAGAATCTCTTCTAGCTACGATTGTTTCTAATTTGCTAGAATTAACTCACCTTGTACATTTGATATATGAGTGTAGAAAGCAATTAAGTTTTGGTTAATGCTAGGGTGACTAATTTGTAGACAAAATTTTATAAATTACATGACATGGAAGTTGAGTATTAGATTATTACTTAAGCGTTGATAAACGTATTCATTGCTCTATTGATGTAGTTTGCAAATTTAATCTACAAGAGTCTCCATAGCATTATCCTTGAGTTTTAGTCTTTTAGATTTAAAAGCTTATTGCAATCTTTATTATTATTTTTTTTGGGGTGGGTGGGGGTGGGGGTGGGGGAGGGGAGTTACAATGGGCGGCAAAACCACACTCACTCTATATACTTGAGACAACTCAGAGATGGTGATATAATCATCCCCATTCTAAAATCGAAGACAAACAAGAAAACAAGGCCGAGTGATGCATGGAAAAAGGAGTGACAGGGAAGGAGGTGGATGACTTCCACTTGTTTATTATGAGTGCATGAATCATGAATAATATATGGATCAATGGGAGTCGAGCATATGATGAGTGGAAGACAGCTTATCGTTTGCTGATAGGATAGTTTGAGCCAGACACTTTCTCTCATGCATGAATGTTTGATTTGATAAGTCATTCACATACACAGTGTTATATGGACCTATCCTTATCAGTTTTCTATTTTCCTTTACCACCTGAAAACAGCTTTTTCTTATATAAATCTTCATTTCTGCATGCATATTCCCATATTATACATGAGACATTTTGAACATGAACTCAAATAATTAAACACTTGATAATAAAAACGTATAAATGCTATGTGGATGAAGTGATTTCGAATCTAGGGGTTTGGAGACACTGTGAAGTTGTTTATCTAAAAACTATTAGAAGTTTGTTTTTCTCTTTTAAACTATTAGAATTCATGCATGTCAAACTGTGAAAAAGAATGTTATTTCAAATGAGTACACGTTTCATAGAAAGTTTATCTTGAAAAAAACTATTAAGTAAAAATAGATAATTGAATCGAAATAAAATGTCGTCAAATAATTTGATATAGATCAAAGAAATTATTAGATCATATATATATATATATATATATATATTAACTACAATGATATTTTTACATTAAGAAGAGAGGAAGTTCGGCTAAGCCACACAATGGGCAACCTAATTTGGTATTGAATTCGTCATCCACGAGATTCGAACCTAATACCTTTTGTTTCAAAGTAAAGAGGAATACCACCATGAAAATTAATAGTTTATGTAAGAAAAGTAAATTTCAAGCTGTAGATGCTTGCCATTCCCACGTCAGAACTAATACGAATATAAGGAATGACACATATAAATAAAAAAAAAGATTTTTATCACAAACAGTTCTGAAATTGATCCACAATATCAAGACTGTTCTTGAAATTGAAAATCAATCAATGTATTTATTTCGTCAGAAATTCTGTTATATGCTGATTTGGTATATAATTGAGTTTTACCAGTCTAATTAAATATTGTCATGCGGATTAAATATATTTAAATATAAATATCTTGTTTTTATATAATTAAAAACTTGAAAAATAAAAAGGGCAAAAAAAGAAGAAGATGAACAGTTCATCGTCTTCCCTCTTCCCCATTCCCCGTGGCTCACGTCTTTCGCTACCTCCACCGTGTTCCAGACTTCCCAAGATCCCTCAGGATCTTGTTCGACGACACTCCCATTCGTTCTCTCTCTCGATCGAAACTATAAAGTTGCGGAATTAGAACTGGAATGGAAAAAACTCAAATCTTCCCCAAATCAGAAAAGAAGAAAACTGAAATGGGGGAATTTTCAAGCAATCAGCCCAAACCCAGCAAAAAGAAAACTCAATTCACGATCCAATAGCAGCAATTCCAACCAAGCGTGGTTGAAAGGCTGGTTGGGATTAGGAAAGTATGGCGACGCCGAGAAGTGCTCAGGGGATGTCGCTGGGCTTGTGATTCACCTTCTTTTTCATTTTTTTTCAAGTTTTTAATTATATAAAAATATAAAAATTTATATTTAAATATATTTAATCCACACACCAATATTTAATTAAACTTGTGACATCCAATTATATTGCACATCAACATATAATAGAATTTTTTACAAAATTGTGGCGGAATGATAGTATTGATTTGCGACATCTATTTTTGAGGAATACATTAATTGATTTTCAATTTTAAAAATTATTTTGATGAAATGAGACAATTTCAAGGATTGTTTATGATAAAAACTCATTTAAAAAAAAGGTGAGAGTAATATATTACCAAAAAATGCCTACTTGCTTACACCTATTATGTAGAGTCTAGACAGCTAGACTTTCATAATGATATCATATAGCAACGATGAAATTTTAATTTGATCGATCATGAAGCAAATTACATTCCACATTGGCGAGTTGACAGCCTAAAATGATGAAAAGTAAGATTCAAAGTAATAAAGAAAATACAATTTTGAGGGGAAAAAATCCTAATGAAATGATCAACATCTTCTCCTAGATATCTATTTAATATTCACACCAAAGAGCCTAAATCCTTTTTCCTCAGCTATGGATGCCTTGTGATCTTCACTATAGTCCTAGTTTAGTATTGAGGTGATTTTAAAAAA